TTGAGATGAAGGAAGAAAATAAAAACCGACAAATAAGTAAGCCCCTTTGACTTGACACCTTGGATTGTATTTTAACCACATAAAAGTTTTAGCACGTTGAGCCATTACCTCATTGAGTTATTTTTAAACAACCAGGAATCTTGATTTCTGAATCTGTATTAAAAAAGAAAGAATTGATTTTAATTGCTGGGTATAAATTATCTAAAGCAGGGGTTGGCAAACTATAGCCTATGGGTCAAAATTTGCATGTGGCTTGTTTATGTACAGTTCAAGAATTAAAAATGGCTTTTACCTTTTAAAGTGTTGTAAGAACAACCAAACAAAGGACAATACTCTACAGAGACTACGTGGTCCACAAAGCCTAAAGTATTTATCATTTGGTTTTTTACAGGAAAAGTTTGCTAACCGCTGGTCTAAAGGATTACACAATATATTTTCTTTTAATTCCTTTTAATGTTCTCTCTTCCTATAAATGTCCTCATCCTTTCCGGGACTCACTGCTGTTTGGTTGTCCGAACCGTTCATATGCTCGCTCTTCCTATTAATGTCCTCATCCTTTCTGGGACTCACTGCTGTTTGGTTGTCCGAACCGTTCATGGAGTATGGTTTGAGTTAACAAACACAATGTGTCATTACTCATAAAAAAAAAAAAAGTGCCTTATTCTGCTCCTTTCATGGCTTCTTACGGTAACATTTCGAATCCAATCTCTGACCTTTATGCTTACTGCAATGAACCTACCCTGATCTTGAGTAGAGTCTTGTTCTCTGGCCATAATTAATCCAGAATGTTATTAAGGAATCATTGTCATTAGTGAGTGGTAAAGAAAAGCAGGAACACTAAAGTTTGGAATACTGGTTAGTCCTCAAAATATATACACATACGATGCAAAGAAATTCTTTTTCATAGTGAGGAAGAAGGCCTCAGGAATTAACCAGTTAAGGAAAAAGCCTTTTTGCTTTGAAAAGGGAGGGAAACAAGAGCAATCCGGTGGGTTGGGAAAATGTGTTGCTTTTATCTTCAGTGGAAATGGACATGTGAAAAACACAATCCTCTTCCTGTGGGAAAACAGAAGACCAAGTCTCAATTTCTCTTCCCCCCCATCTCTTTTTTTCCTGTGACCGGTGGTTGTTTACCCCTCAGAGTCCAGAACATGGGCTCCTGTAGACATTCTGGCCCCAGATATCTGACTTTCATTTGTACCATTTCATACAGAATTCTTTCGTTTACTGAAGAAAGGCCAACAGTCCAGTGCAAAGGAAAAGCAGTAACTAAAGAAAATATGATCTAAAGTAAGGTGATTTTGAAACAAATAATGATACTAAAAAAGGCCAGAATAATATTGTAACCTGTTATCAGACCCCCTCAGGTCCATAAAAAGTTTTCTCTTGAGGTCTTCTTAGAATTTTCTTGTTTGTTTTAAAAAAACTGAAAATAAGTTATGTACATATACTCTTAGGTAATAAATTTTATTCAGGAATTGGTTAAGTCCCAGATCATTCCATTTGCAATTCTCCTAACTGCCTAATGATGTTCTCATTTTGTCATTGGTTCTAATGAGGAGACGAAGAAACAAAGGATCAGACTAACAGTTTTTACATAGACAGGCAGAGTTTGGGCAGGTTCTTTAAAAATTCCCTTTGGACTTTGTGGGAATGGTACAACCAACCACGAAGCCATTCCTGGAATATTTACTCTTGTTCAGCTCTGGAGGATTCCTTGTTGTCACATGGACTTGGAGAAATACTTGGTCTTGTTTCCTCGCAAAGGGGCCCCTTCCCATGGTGCCGGCTGCAGCTCTACACTGACCTTTGATGGAAGGCGACACCCACTTCCTGGCTGCCAGCTAACAACTTCCTTAATACTTCTTTTAAGGAAGCAAATTTCAGGGAGTGGATGATCAACCGAACGAAGTCAAGAAGAAAGAGATTGTAACAAAATGAAAAAATAAAGTAATTTTGGTTACTTTAGGAAGAATCCCATAAAGCTACAGATTCTGATCTGTTCCATTGACTACCAGATAAACTTTCAGATATGGATAGTGTTACAGAATGTATGATTAGCAAGATCAACCCCTTACATTCTTTAACACACAGTGCCACATCACAACTGGCAGAGCCCTAGACCTGGAATCAAGAGATCTGGATCTGAGTCACTGAGTAGTTGTTTAAATAATAGTGCGTATGTGAAGATGTGCAAACTTAGTCTGTTCTAAGTTTCAAACTCACCCTTCTTCACCTTCTCTTAAACGTGCACCATATATTCCAGACTCCTTTCCTGGAGGTATTGATGGGAAATTGGAAGTCTGGAAGAGTGGGGGAAAGGGAGAAGCTGCATCACCCATATTTTGTTCCCTAACCACACGTATGAACACACGTGTGTGTGTGCACACAGACACAGCAGACACAGACAGACACACACGCAGAGCTTCTGGCAGCCCCTCCAGCATTACTGGCTTGTGACAGTGTTTAGAATCATGCCTGCAGCATAGAATGTGCTCGATTGTTGTTAGCTATTATTATTATTGGTTTATGCACGAAAATGTTCCAGCATTAGATTAATTTGGAAAGGCTGCAACCTCCCTCTGCCTTTCCTGTGAGGTTTATAATAAAAGTGCTAAAGAGTTCTGCATTAAAAAAAACAGTTCAACTTTAGTTACTCCAGCATTCTGTAAACCTATTTGAACACCAAGATTTTCCCCCTCAAATACACCAAATATTATCTTGTAGAAGTGGGGTTCTGCAGAAGATGTTTTTGAAAATGACAACCCAGTGAGACATCTGTGGAGTTCTGGGACTTAATCCCAGAACTGCCTCTTTACTTTTTATATGACCAGAGTGGGCTTCTAAGCTCTAGTGAACCCCCTCTTGGTTTCTTCACGACACTGTCAGTTCCTGTCAGTTCACAATTTAGGGTGACCCTCGATCACCCATGCCTTTTTATGATCCCCTCCCCATGAATATGACTTGCTTCTAACCAACAGAATATGGCAAAGGTGATGGCTTGTCACTCCCGTGATTATGTTTCCTTATATGAGACCCCGTTTTAGCAGACTGGAGACAGAGAAAGAGACTCTCCCGCTGACCTTGAAGAAGCAGTTGCTATCATGTGAACAGTATTGAGAGAGTCACGTGGCAGAGCACTGTGGGCAGCTTCTAGGACCCAAGGGCCTCAGTGATACAGCAGCCAGAAAGCAAATTCTGCCAACAACCACGTGAGCTTGGAAGAGGATCCTGAGCTCCGGAAAGGAGCATGGCCCATCTGACACCTTCATTGTGAGACCCTAAGCAGCGAACCCAGTTAAACCATACCCAGACTCCTGACCCATGGAAACTGAGATATAATAAATGTATGTCATTTTGAGCTGGTAAATTGTCATTCTGTAATTATAGCAGCAATAGAAAACTAGTCCAGTTGCGTACCAAAACCCATTCCCCCTCCTTTTTCATTATTAACAAAACCTAAATTTCCTTCAGAATGTCAAGCTGCCCAGAAAAATACTTTATTTTCCTGAATCTCTTTGCTGAAAAGGGGACAAAGGGAACATATCTAACCTATGAGTTCTGAGTGGAAGTCTGAAAAGGATTCTTGAAGGCTTGCTTTCCTGATGAAAGGGAAAGATACCCTGGTGCTCTCCTCTTCCCAATTTTCCCCTTTGAATATACACCTATGTAGGGAGCTGTAGCAGCCATATGGGGCCAAGAGACTCATAAAGATGACAGCCTTGACCTTGTTGAACCACTTAATCAACACTAGCTCCTGCCTACTTCCATTTATCTTGTTATGTGGGAAAAATAATCCTATATATTTAAGCTACAGTTTGTTGGGCTTTCTGTTATTGGCAGATGAACACATTCTTTAATGGTTAACATACTATATGATTGTTGTGAAAAGTGAGTAACAAAAACACAGAGAAAGCATTTACTGCAGTGCCTGCCAGGGCTGGCCTTTCTCCCTCACACATGCGTGCACGTGTGTTTGCTCGCTTGCTTCTCTGCTCTTTTACCCTCTTTCAGTGCTCTCTCTTGCCCTTGCCCTATCTCCATTCATTCATTCATTCATTCGTGCAGCAAATATTTACTGAGCACGTGCTAATTCCTGGTGCTGTGCTAGGGCCTGAGGATACAAACATAAATAGGACACACAGGTTTCCATCTTAACATTTCAGTCCTGGCCTCATTAGAATGAGAAGAGTTTAATGATTAATTAGCTGATTACATGTTAGTGTGATTGAGTTCCATTTGCAATCTCAATATATGTCTGAATTAATGATTCTTAACCCAACTTGCCATAAATGCCTTTACTCCCAGATATAGAAATTCCAGGCATTAGCGAGCAAATGATGAGGGTTTTTTGGTGTGGGGTTGGAGGGGGCATGTGAAAGCAGGTGATTGACTGTGGATGAAGAAAGCTATCTCGTTTGTTATAAATAATTTCTGGAGCCTTCCACATGTTTTCTGATAGTGCTTTCTTACCTTCCACCTACCTGGCCACAGGTCATTCTCTGTCCTGTCTGGTAGGTGTACTCCAACTCTGACCCTTTCTACCTCTCTTTTGGCCTCAAAATTCTGAGAAACATACCATCTGATTTCAAGTAGATTTTATTTTCTTTACTGTATAACACCACTGTTGTACTGTGAACATCTGTTCTGGGAACACCATTCTAATGGTCTCTATGTCATTTCTACCTTTGGTAATAATGACTCAAACCAGTAGTGTAACAATAGAATTCATTCTCTTTGTTAAGAAGATATTTCTGTGCCCTTAACTAATTATTCACTACTTATTTCATTTTTATGTACTTTACTGCTCTTTATATGTTGATTTGACCTATCTCAGACTGCAAGCCAATTGAGGGAAAGTCTGATACAGTTCTATCACGTTATATTCTGGAAATCAATGAATGGTGATAATGGTGGTGATGGACTTTCTCTGAAGCTCTTGGGAGCTAGGCCTGTGATCATTTAGGTCTGACTAAAATATGCCTAATTCTTCTTTCAAGTACCAGCTACAGGATGAAGCAGAAGTAGACCCAAAAGGACATAAAATGTGTTGAAGACTATTTGTAGTTTGTGAACTTAAGCTAATTAACATTTGAATGGCCCAACCGTGATCATCCTGAGGACAAATAAGCAAGAGAGACTGAGGCACACCATCTGGCTACCATGAGACCATTTGTTACCATGGTTAGAAGGCTGCACAGGAGTTCTGGTGTTCTATTTGCCTGTTAGTGGAATCACTACCAACAACTCTTTTTCCCCTGAGTTCAGAATCTATTGAGAAAGATACACACCCACAGGAGTCAGGCAATTGGAGAGCAAAAGGTCACCCTTATCACCCAGACTGCTGCTGGGGGGACCTCATGCTTTGTCTGTCAGTGAGGTGGACTTGCTAATAACCTCAGAGTCTCCGTCAGCTCTGGCCAACTGCAGCCCCTGCCTCCTGGGGCTCACCTGAGCTATGCTCACATAGCAGAGCAGGGCAGGCAGGCAGATTTTGAAGGAAGAGCACACTCAGTCCCTTCTCTCAAACTCACCAACAGAACACTCACCTCTCTTCCCAAGGCAGGAGGCTGAACAGGGCCGGGACTAGGGTGAGGCAAGTGAGGCAGTGTAGTCTTTATGTAAAATTTTGATATTTTGTTCATCTTAGATTTTTTGCTTGTATTTTGATTTTTAAAAATATTGTATTAAAATATTATTTTTCTCGATTATTGAGTTTTTGGATGCATCCTTAAATTTCTTAATGGAGGCGAGCACCTCAGTACCCTCATCTGCATCCCAGTCCTGCAAGAAGATAAAAGGGTAAATGGATGGAGACCCTTCCGGATAGAAATGTCAGGAGCAGGGGATATATTCCTACCCTGCTGGATGGATGTTCAGGAGCTTAATCAACCATACCCTACTGTAATTGTACTAAGATACTCAGGTAGTCGAGGAAACTTTTCTTTCTTTAGTCAGTATGTTGGATCTCTGTTATAAAAGGAAAAACAAAAAGCAAGACAGGTGTCAGTGTTACTAGAAGGTGATTATAATATTCAGTGAGGCTACCAAATAAGGATGGTTCTAATGGGCTCAGAACCAAGTCGTTCTTTGAAACAAATACTTGCTATGCCTTGCTTTTTTCTTAATTAAGATTCAGAAAATATTTGAGTATGTATACAAACATTATGAAAAACACAGATTTGGATTTGTGGAATTTAATGCATGAATGTGTCCAACTAAGTCTTCAGGCTATGACCATCGGAGGAACGGCCTGTTCTGTGACGAGTGTGTGCCTGCCTTTGGAATTCACAACACATCCCAGGAAAATCATATCCTAACTAGTTTGGTTGTTTATGCCAAAGAGGGCATTTCTGCACCTCGGTTTTCAACTCTAGTTTGTTTACATTGAAGCAAAACATTCTTACACAGGAAGACTAGACACTCTTTCTCAATGGAGGGAGGCTTCTCTTTTCAGGGTCAGGAACTGTATGTCTGCAAAGTTAATTATCACAAGACTGTAAACCAGTCCTTCAGTCTCCAAGTCTGTGTCTCTGACCTTTGCCAAGGGCATAGTGCCACCAGACATACCACAAGATATGCGAAGGACGGAGTCTAACTTGAATAGCCTTGTTAACTTGTTTTCTGATGCTGATATGAAGAGTCTCATCATAAATCACGTTGGTGCATTTGAGAGAGAGCTCAGTTCAAAAGGTGGAATCGTCTAGTATCAAAAATCTTATCTAATTAACTGTGACATCTTTAATTCTTTCAGCGGGACCTGTAAAGGAAAGCCTTTCACATTTAGGCAAGATCTAAGCAAGGGATTGGATGAAGTTCATTAGTTTTGTAGTCTTGTGAGCTTTGACAAATCAAAAACATTATTTCTGATCTATAGTTTACCTTTAAGCAAGATCTAATATCATGGTTATTGGACAGGTTCAGTCAATTACAAAAGCATGGGGCTTCCCTGGTGGCGCAGTGGTTGAGAGTCCGCCTGCCGATGCGGGGGACGTGGGTTCGTGCCCCGGTCTGGGAAGATCCCACATGCCGTGGAGCGGCTGGGCCCGTGAGCCATGGCCACTGAGCCTGTGTGTCTGGAGCCTGTGCTCCACAACGGGAGAGGCCACAACAGTGAGAGGCTCGCGTACCGCAAAATATATATATATATATATGTATCATCAAAATTTATATCACCTGTTTCTTTATACGTCGTTAAATGGTGATACCAGAAAATTAAAACTTACATATGTGGCCCACATTCTATTTCTGTTGGACAGTGCCAGTCTTGATGTTTTGGAAGTAAACATCATGAAGAGAGACACATATAGTTTGTGCATTTATACTTCCTTTGAAGCACTCCAGAAGCAGCACTAATTTACATAAAACCCCTGTGAGGAGGATAGGAAATGCCTTTTACTAACATTTCAAGGAAAATAACTTCAAAGAATATTGTTGTCATGACTATGATTCATAAATCAGAGAAAACTTTGGGTTCATGCTTCAGAGAGCAAAGCATTCAGGGACAGCTGTTTCATTTATTACTAACTCTTCCTTAGTCCAGTTTGAAACCAAAAATCTTGGGGGAGGGGTGAAGAGTGCTGTGGATTTGGGGAGTTAGGTGTAGGTAGTAACTTTTACAATATACTTAGTAGAGAGTAGGTTCTTAACAAATGTTTGTTCAATCAAGGAAAAAGGACTTGTGAATTTAGGTTAAAGCCTCCTGTTGCCAAAATACAATTGGCTGTACTGAGGGTCGTGGAGCAATATGACAATTCAAAAACTCATTGCAGTGACAGTGGTTCCCATTCCACCATGGCATGGCTACGCTAGGTCCAGTGGCAGCCACAGCATATGTCAGATATGAGGAGTCCCGGAATTAGTACAAGGGTGTAGAGTTCTGAGAGACTAGAAGAAGTGAGAAGTCGGAGGTCCGAAGGCATCAAGAAAGGATTAAAAATGCATTCTGTGACAAGGATTCAAAAGGGTTGGGAAGTGAGGATTCAAGATGAGCTCCAGGTTAGTGGAAGAGCCACTCCCAGAGGTCAGCTTAGGTACAACATCTTGAACCTGACAGAAGAGTCGGTCGTGGTGCCATGAGTTAATTCCTGGGAAGCAAAGTTTGACTCAGCCAGGAGCCTCTGGTCCACTTTTTGCCTGAGCAGTAACAGGTTCCAGGTCATGTGCAGGTTTGAATGTCCCAGTGGCAATAGGAGCTGACATCAATCGATTGCAGATGGGATGAGATAGTAGCTGAACTTAGGTTCTGACAGACTCTCTACTGGTTTGGAGTTTTGCCATCCAAAATGTGAGCCAAGCTGCTTTAATTACTCAGCTGTGGTTCTGGATTGGAGGGAAAGGACCAGAAGTGACGGGCTTTGATAGTCTCATGTCTTTTCTCACCACTGGTTGAAAGAGCAAAATTCTTTTCAGCATTACCACAGGTACTAGACACAGGCTACTAGGTGACCTAGATGTGTAGTTAAACACTCCTTTTTTCTTTATGCTCTTGGCAGAACAGAAACAAAAGAAAATGTTTGGCTTATTTTATCATATGTAAGGACTATCTGCTTTTACTATAACGATCTATCAGATAGGCTTAATTGAAATAATCTTGCCTCAGAATAACTGTAGGATAACAAACTTGAAAGCTACTCTATTTAACTTTGATTCTGTAATATATAGATAATGTCCAGCAGAGTCATACCTTCATGGACCTGAACCTGTGACCTTAATTTGGGTTGAAATAATGGCTTTGGTGCCTTATTGTTTTTTTTTCTTCCAGTTTTATTGAGATACAGTTGACATACAGCACTGTATAAGTTTAAGGTGTACAGTATAATCATTTCATTTATATACGCAATGATTACCACAGTAATTTCAGTGAACATCTGTTATCTCATATAGATATAAAATTAAAGAAATAGAAAAAAATTTTTATCTTGTGATGAGAACTCTTAGGATTTCCCCTCTCAATAAGTTTCATATATAACATACTGCAGCATTAATTATATTTATCGTGTTGTACATTGTATCCCTAGTACTTGTTTACCTTCTAACCGGAAGCTTGTACCTTTCGGGTGCCTTTACCGATTTTGACTAAATGGCAAAAGTAGCAGTTTAGGCGGCAGGAGCTTAAGAGATGTGATCACCCTGTTGCTCTGTGGGAACACATGGGGTCTTTATGCGATTCTTATTGATTTGAAATCAAATTGGTGACCCATATTAGTCTAACAGCTGCTCTGGGACCATCGTTAATGATTTAGTGATAGAGTTCAAATTATAAGTGCAAATTTTTGTTTCCTCCAAGAATCTGAATTATACCTTCTTCCTAAATAACTTCCATGCAAACTTGGTCTCTCTTAAAAAGATGGGCTCATCTCTACTCCATTACTAGAAATGTGACAAATTATAAAAAAGATACAGCTCTCAGATTTGACAACACCTTTCCTCAATACTGAATGTACATTGAAAATGGACATCTTCAAATTCTTGGTTATGGAACATCTGAACAAGCACAAATACTTCTACAACCCATAATTGCCAGTTTGAACCATAAAAAAAAAAAAAGCAAAAAAAACATGGCTTTTGTGGATTAAAGACTAGATTTCAAGCACCACCCCAACCTCTAATACAAAATCCAGTAGTCTTATACATGCAACATAAATCCACATACACTATAATTATTGTGGTCAATTATGCTAAACCAAGCACATAGTTTTTCCTCAAACATTTTCGTAAGCAAAGAAAAAATTGCCTCCATGACTCATTTTTAGAGATGGGCTAACAAGTTCGGATCATGTGAGAGCTAACTAACTTTTTTTTTTTTTTGCCTCCACATTTAAGATGTGTTCACGTTCAGGGGAACCTAACTAAACTAACTTTCTGTTACCTTGATTGGGACCAGATGAAAAGAGACTAAAAAATAGGTCAGAGCTTTTAAATCCTGAGGATATCTTTATAATAAGCAGCTACTAAGTAGTTTATGACCAGATGCCGTCTAACGTAACACAATTTTTTAAAGACAGCTTTGTGGGAATATAAGTTACATACCATGACACTCACCCATTGTAAGTATACAATTCAAATATTTTTAGTAAATTTATACAGAAGTGTAACCATTACCATATTTCAGTTTTAGAACATTTTCATTACCCGTAAAATTTCCCTTGTGTCCATTGACAGTTCACCCTGCTTCCACCCACAGCTATAGGCAACCACTGACTTGCGTTTTCTCTCTATAAATTTGCTTTTCCTAGATATTTCTCATCAGTGAATTGTATAATAATTATGCCTCTTGTGTCTGACTGCTTTTTTGGGGACTCATCTATGTTGTAGCATGTATCAGTTGTGAGATCCTTTGTTGAATAATACTCTGTTTTATGGATACACCGCATTCAAAATATCCATTTACTAGTTGATGGAACCTTAAATTTTGTCCAGGTTTTGGCCATTCTGAATAATGCTGCTATGAACATTCATTTACATATCATTGAATGGACATATGTTTTCTTTTCTCTCCCATAAATTCCTAAGAACTGACTTACTTTGCTGTATAGTAAGTTTATGTTTAAATTTTTAAGAAACTATCAAACATTTTCTGAAGTAGATGTGACATTTTACATTCCCATCAACAATATATGAGGGTTCCAATTTCTCCAACACTTGATATTGTC